CAAATACGGACAACAATCAATAACAACAACATCTAACAGCGACACGTTAACAATAACAGGCAATAGCAGCGAGCGGACGCCGGGCGGTGGCAACAAAGGCAAAAACGCACCAGCAGCAAGCGAGACGTGTAGTCGTAGGGCAGGGCAGCAGCAAGCAGCCGTCACGCATAAAACGCCACAGATACACAGCAACGGACAACGACAAAAACAATCAATAACAACAACACCAAGGAACGACGATGATTGGCGACAACAACACTATCGACGACGACTGACAACAACAACGACGACCCGACCGAAAACAGACAACGACGATGAACGACGGACAACGACACCGGATCGGACGAACGAACGACAGCGGCCACCGACGAACGACGACGATCGCCGCCGACGAAAAATGACGAAAGACGTATCCATCGACGACGACGACCACGACGACGATGGCGACAACTACAACGAGACTACGTTACGGCGACTAACAACTAGACGATTAACAACAGGGATTCATCTTACGTATATACCTAACTCAGCAGCCAGCACACAATCAGCAGCAGCATGCAGGCAGCCGCCGCGCTTTCATGCGTGCCTGACAAACGTCTGCAGCAGCATCAGCACAGTAGGCAGCTAGCAGCCCGCACAGCAGGCAACAGCAAGTAGCTAGTATAGTAGTAGTTAATAGTAGTATGTAGTAGTAAGTAGTAGTAGTAGTAAGTATCAGTAGTATAGTAGAGTAGTAGTAGTAATAGTAGTAGTAGTAGTAGTAGTAATAGTAGTAGTAATATAGTAGTAAGTAGTAGTAGTCAGTAGTAGTAGTATAGTAACTCCAGCAGGCATGCATCATACAGCAACCGCACCTTCACCTTGGGCCTGACCAAACGTCAGCAGCATGCAAACGCGCAGTAAGCTCAGCATCAAGTAGCAGCAGCCAACAGCCATGCAGCAGCATCACAGCCGCAGCCTCATGCGTGCCTGACAGAACGTGCAACAGCAGGGCAAGTAGCAGCAGTAAGCAGCAATAGCAAGCCGCAGCAAGCAGCAAGCAGCATCTACCAGCATATATCTGATTGGCGAGCGCACTCAGCGCCTCGGCTGCATGCCCTCCCAGTCTCAACGCGAGCATCTTTCGTGATGACAAACGGACTTTCCTTCCAACGGTGACGCACGGTAAGCGGTTGAATCGCTCGGAACGCCTTTGGGCGCGAGCGCGGACTTTCGGGGCCGATCGTTATATCGTATCGATCTCTGCATGAGTGCCGATAATTCTCGCCGCTGCCATAAATGCCGCCACCTGCAGAAGGAATATGGCCTATGTTCACCTGTTAGAGAACCTACACAGACTTACAACTTTAAGCCTAGAGCTTACAACCCACTTAGGAAGGATGTTAGGTATAAAGTTTCCCGCACATGGCCCCAATTACCGGCGTCTTACATGTCCTCACGTAATTAACAACCCCGTTAGGCATCATACCAATCGCTTAGTGTAAAATGGAAACCGCCGTAGATGGGCTGTTTTAACCAGGCAAAGCGAATAGGTATCGCCACATAGAACTTAGAATACGAACTAAAAATATAGAAATAGAACATAAAAATGAGAAATTAGAATACCTCTATTCTAGTTCTAATGGTTATGCAGGCGGAGAATGTATGCGAGTAAGCTCTATTTCAGTGCTGTTAGTAAGAAAAAACCGGCGCGGAAGGAAAATTCCAGTCGTATGCATTTCAGTAGGCATGGCATATATGCTTTACTTAGATAGTATAATATATACCATCATAGTCGTAGTAATATCAATTGGCAGGACTCTCAACCAACGTTAATTGCAATTCTTTTGTAGTTGTGCTCAGACGTGGGATGACAGGAGATATAATCATAATTTCATGTCATGCTATTTGTAATCTAATTCTAAGGAATATCTCCTATCAAATAGATTCACATAAGGGTTACATCGATGTTTTTCCTTGTAGGTACGATCACGAGTGCATTTATAAGAACGCCATATAACTCATAAAGTATCTCATAGTACTATAGTATCTATAATTGTATCTACTATAAGTACCTTATGATATAGTATCTATATATAGTATATATTATATATATATATATTATCAGCTCGGTTACGAATTGTCTAGTCTAGTGATATCTCGCTATCAAGGGCGTTGTCCTATCAGCTTGCACACTTACCTTGCGCCAACGCGAATGTAGCGCGCTTCGATTGTCGAACCGGCTCTCTGAAGTTAAGACCACTCTCAAGACGAGAGTATTTTTATGCCGCTGAATATGCGAAGCCGACTTTGTTGGGTTGGAAGTGATGCGTATTCTTTCTCCCGCAAGGTACCTATCAAACAACACAAATTTGCCTAAAACTCCAACCCGATATATAACATATAATATGCAACTATAGCATAAATTATCAATAATATATATTTACATTGTTATAGAATCTAGAACACGCAACGGCGTAAACCGTTGTCTGCCTTGAATAATGTGAGATAATAGGCAATAGGCGCTTCTCCATAAATATAGGGCCCAGCTTCCAAGGTTTGACCGTCCATCTACTGCCTGTGACCAGGCCTGTTCCGAGGTCGGTAACAGCGAATATTGTTAGCAGTGCTCGCCTACGCATGTCATTTGTAGAACTTTATCGAGCGTCTCTCACGTATGCCTAAGGCAAAGTTCATTCACGTTCTTCAAAGATTCCGGCTGATGCACGTAGATCTCTGCAGTCGAAGTGAACGCCCATCGTACCGCAAGACGAGCATGGCGTGGAATAGTGAGGCGACTCGTCATTATATCCGTGTGTTAGTGGGGGGCATCTCATGTTATCATTCCGCGTAGCGTTATTGAGGGGCATTCTCATGTTATCCATCCCCGTACGCTAGTGAGGGGGCAGCTCTCAGTGTATCATGCCCTGTACGTTATTGGAAGAGCATCTCAATGTTATCATCCCCCGTACGCTTATGTGAGGGCATCTCACTGTTATCACCGCGCGGCCGGATCGTAACGTTAGTGAGGGCATCTCATGTTATTATGCCCGTGACGTGTGTGTGGGGCATCTCATGTTACAAATCGCCCTAGTACGTTAGCTGAGGGGCATCTCATGTTATCATCCGTACGCTAGTGAGGGGCATCTCAATGTTATCATGCCCCGGGTACCTAGTGAGGGGGCAGTCTCAAAATCATG